TTTTTTTTTTTTTTTTTTTTTTTTTTTTTTTTTTTTTTTTTTTGTTTCTAAATTGTCTCTGATGTTACTCTTGGTAGAGTAACATTATTGTAAAATATTAATTACTTTACCATGTTTATTTTATTAACAATCTCACAATAATCAGGTGGAAACAGACGACCAATTCCTCCCTACAAACTACCATCGTCGAACTCCACTTTCAATCGAGAGAAGGAACAAGACAAGATCGATCTGAAACCTGAACTTCCATCGCTGGAGGAATCCTCCACGAGAAAGGAAGAAACAGATCAGAGTGAGGCTACCACTACCAACGTCATAGAGAACGCAACGAAACATCACGAAGAGAACAACAATCAAATAGTTAAAACAGACTCGAAGATCACGGAAAAACCATCTGCTCAGAACTCAACGAAAATTCACGAGTCCGTTAACAGTAAGAAAGAGAATAAGTATCAAGCTCCGTCTAAAGTAAACGTGACTCAATCTAGCGACGCGCACAAAACGAATTTCACCAAGCACGACGGTTCTCCAAGGCCTGTGATTCCATTGGAATTTCCAATCAAACCTACTAAAATCAATGGCTCTCAAGGCTCCAGTTCCAGTACGAACAGCGAGAAATCGAACAATAAACCGAGTATTTCCAAGACATCAACGAAATCTTACTCCACGTCAACGTTGAACATCGAGACCAGCTCGTCGGTTCAGATAATCGAGCCAACGTCTAGCAAACCTATCGTCCAATCAACTCCAGTAGCCACAAATGTTAATATTAATTCAAGTAAAGTCACAAGCGCGTCAAGCACGATAACTCTGGAACCTAGCAAAACGATAGAACCCGAAAGCACAGCCGCATCGAGTATTCCAACGCCAACTGAGAGTTTACCTTCGATTTTCACCAAGACCTCGTCGACCACCGAGAAAAGCATCGTCCATCCTACCATGAACACGTTCTCGAAGAATTCAGGTAGGACATTCGCTCGGCTGCGCGTCTCGTACAAATTTTTTCATTCGATAAGATAATACTGCATTCAGTATCTATAATGAATTCATCGCGCGGATGCAACGAACAACCTATGCTCGATTAATTTCCTTTGTCGAGTGCCGGCATGCTCAATTAACTTCCTTTGTAGCGCCTACGGATCGCTACGCTTACCGACCCAGGCCTGGGATCGTCCTCGACGACACTTTGGATTACACGGGAACTCAAGGACTGGCTACTCAACGGCCTTACGCACCACCAAGACATCCACCTCTCGGTGATATTTTTGATGTCACGGTCTCGGCTATTCAAGGCCCGAGCGGTGCAAATTCCGGTAAACACTGATACAAACGTTACCGCTCAAAAAT